CCGCTATCCATTACTCCACCATGCCTCCTGAAAATATTAGTAGATCACGGCAACCATTACTGGCATTGTTTGTATATATTTGCTGCGGAATTAAGGTTCACTTGTCTTAATGATTGCACAAGCAATTTACATTATTCAAACTATTGTCCTCATCTTTGTCGCCATATTTATTATTTATAATATGGCAACAAAGATGAGGACAATAGTCCAATAAATGTAAATAGTGTACATAATACCTCATCTGAGAAATATAGACAGATACTGAAAGGCCGAAACGTTGTAATAAATATGGTGACAAAGATGAGGACAATAGTCCAAATAATGTAAATAGTGTACATAATACCTCATCTCAGAAATATAGACAGATAATGAGTCCTCAGTTGCACAGTAATAGAAACAAGTAAGAAGAGTAAAAAGGCTGTTAACAAGGTGATCTTCCACACAAATCTAATCAGCAGTGAATGTAAGCAAACAATGCCAGTAATGGCTGCCGTAATGTGAATGAATCTGAAATTTTATTGTTGATAACTCCAAAATGATAGATTTTCTCAAAATTTCTTTGTTGTTTTCAAATTCAGCATGTACATTTACACCTTAATTTCAGAACATTTTTATTAGATACTTAGCATGGGGCTTAAAAAGCAAATTACCCATCAGCATATACACTGCTATTTATCTATCCTTATGAAAAATACCAAGAACCTCTTTAGGGAGTTTCAAGTATTAATAGCAATATATAAAAAGTTTACACCATTTTAAATGAGCATGCAAGCCATGGATAATGCAGTAAACAATTCAAGGGCTGTTTTGTAAAAAACAAAAAAAATTTGTAAAACCTTTATATTGCCAGATTCTATTATCCAAGTCAATACTTTCAGAATAAATCTTGTATTAATATGTTTGTATTGAATATAAAATAAGGGATCAGTTTTCTATTGATATTAAGTAATAAACTCATCCCCCTAGAATTACTACACAATGTCTGATTTTATTATGCAATATAATCTCTATAAAATCAGTATTAACCAACTAATGTAGGCAAAACCTTCTAGGATTAAATATTAATAGGTTTGTACTAGATCTAAAGTGGGGGTTCGGTTTTCTATTGTTATTAAGCAATAATCTCACCCCCCCTAGAATTACTCCATTTGATCAGATTTCATTATGCAAGTCAATTTCATTTTGTTTAACAGCATATCAACCTCAATGGGTTATTAAATGCTGATAAATTTTTTTACTGCTGCGAATATTTTTTTTTCTTCAAAAATCTATTGCTGCTAATATTTTTTTTCAAAAAATGTTTAGCTGGCAGTATTTTTTTTTCAAAAATGTATTGCTGATAATAATGTATTTCTGGTAATAAATTTTTTACAAAAAAGTATTTCTGATATTAAAACCTATTTTTACACTTTCACAGTGTTTTGACCCCAATTTAGGGGTTAACTATTTGCCTATAGCTGGGACCCTAACAGGTGCTACCACTCTGGGTCAGGGAGGATGTGGGAACAGCAGCAATTAAGAGGTGGTTACACGCTACTCAAAACCTCCCAATCAGAGACCTTGCTGTTAGACATCGTTTATCGTCTTACCCTGGACGTGGATGTAGTTTATTGTCATACCCAGGGCAGCACAAGACAATGTTTTTCACAATTGGTTTTAAGCAACTGATGTATGCAAAACTTTCAGGGAATATTTACTTATTAACGTTTCAACTGGACATAAATTGGGGGATTGATTTGCTATTAAGCAATGAACTGATCCACCTTAGAATTACTACACTACAGTGATTAATAAAAATTCATATATATATATAATAATATTTTTTTGTTTAAAAATATGATTCATTCACTAAATATGTTTATTCTCATGTTTCAAAAACGAAGCCAAAACCATCCAAATAATTATTAAAATTAAGTTGAATTGAGGTGGATTTGGATGGTTTTTGCTCCCATTTTTGAAACATGAGAACTCTTATGTAAAAAAAATCATATTTAAAAAAAAAAAAATATTATTGTATAAAAAAATGTCTGTATGGACACTGTCTTCTTAAAAACAAAAAACAAAAAAATAAAAAAGAACTCCGGATTATACACCCAACGTTTCTTTTTGTATTTTTAAATATCCAAAGAACTTATACATATTATAAGTATATATATATATATATTGTTTATGTGTATGATACACCTAATTTACATAAGCGGACTACCGACCATATAAATATGGGTTGGTACCGGAAGACGGGGAAGATAGTAGAGATTAAGAAATTGAATCCAGAGACTCTGCCCGACTGCGATTTAGTCAACCCATTATGCAGGAACAGTCTTCCCAAGAATATACCAAACTAACTGTAAATATTGTGTACCTATTCTTTGTTTCAATACATTTTGTTAACGTACATTTTGTGTTGTATTATTCCATGCTTATTTAAGCTTCAACATATATATATATATATATATATATATATATATATATATATATATATATATATATATTTTATTTTAATACCCATACTTGAGCAGTCTGAAAAACCCAGATAATACAATTTGTAAATAAAAAAATATTAAACAAATTGATATCAGGGGAAAAAAAAATTCAATAAAAAAAAAAAAGACAAGACTAAAAACATCCATGCCACTTGAAAATAATCCGCCAGCACTGCAACATCTAGCGAAAAGAACAAACACTGACAGAGTAACTTAAGTTAAAATGTAAACGTGCTCAATACACGAAGTAGAGCAAATACTAAAGACTAAAAAACTTATAATAACTCTTAATATATTACTCAACCAGAGATTGGAAATACTTAATGGTTGTAGACATAAAAAAGCCTTGTTACTTGAATAATGGGATGATCCCCCCCCCAGGTGGCTATTTTTCCAATAAAATATCTTCTAGCCTACCCTCCATTGTTTTCCTTTGTCTTGTTTTTGTTTTTTATACTAATTTTTTAAATTCTTTCTAATGGCCATTTTTTTCCAATAAAATCTCATTTGGGCCAACCCTCTTTAGCCAGAGTTATCCTAATGATCCGTTAGGTGAAACCTGGGTAGGTAGGTTCTGGCTCATTAGATTTTTTACTTTATATATATATATATATATATATATATATATATATATATGTATGTGTGGTTTCATGGATAGTAATTTGTAACCACAGGTTTCATGTTTTCACAGTCTTCAGACAAACTGGTTTGTCTTTTCAAAACAGTATTTATTTATGCTTTATTTGTTTTTAATTATTTGTTTATGGCAGAGAGGAAATATTTTTCTTCTGTGTTTGTTTGGGATGACACTCACATATATATAGATGCACATACATACAGGCGTATGCATGTTAGTTCATACATACACACCCATATTCATAATCTTGGGTTAGGCGTAGTTACACATTCATATGTACAAGCACACATATTTACATAACTTTCCTATATATATATATATATATATATATATATATATATATATATATATATATGAAAGTTGCATAAATATGTACACTCATACATATGAATGTGTAACTACACTACAACAGTATAACTACATATATATATATATATATAATAAAAAGGCTTAAACACTAATATTCCATGGTCATAATTTATTCCATTGGAATTTATATATATATATTTTATTTTAATACCTATACTCAAGACAGTGTGAAAAAACCCAGATAATACAATTTGTAAATAAAAACATATTAAACAAATTGATATCAGGGGAAAAAAATTCAATAAAATAAAAAAAGACAAGACTAAAAACATCTGAAAATTAGTTACTCATGCGTTAGAAATATGGAGAAAATTATATCTTCCCATAATTGCAGAATACTTAAAAGATTCCAATGGAATAAATTATGACCATGGAATATTAGTGTTTAAGCCTTTTTATTATATCCTTACTCTGTCCTGGACATTGAGTTCTACCTGGATTCTATCCTCTCAGAATTTTTTATTCAAAAAATATACATGTATGTGTATGCACCTATGTATATATATTTTGCATATGTATGTGTATATTTACCACTAATATTATATATATATATATATATATACATGAATAAAAAAAATGAGAAAACTATACTTAGTCTTCACCAACGTGTCTCATTATCTGACGGACTTTCTCAAGGCACATTCATTGCTACAGGTACAGATAATATAAACAACTTGTCTCACAAAATTCTGACAGCACTTGCATTTTAAAAGTCATTAAATAACCTGATAGAAAGACAGTGTTCTTCAGAAAAACTGCATGGCTATCAGTCTTGGAGAAAAACAACTCTGAATTCAAACAATGGAGAAGGCAACAGAGAACCACTTCACTATCTTTCCAAGAAAGATAAAGCAATTCACAGATAATGAAGATGTGGAATCTGTGAAGAGCCATTATCTATATCATAAAGGTGTACGGCATTTTTTTAAAAAGACATAGTATGGCTTATATAGCATGATAAACCGAGTTCTCTAGTGGTGACAAGAGAAAGAAAACTGAATTCCAAACCATAGAGAAGGCAATGAGAAACCATTCCACTATATTTCCAAAGAAAGCTTAGTAATTCACAGATAATACAGAAAAGGAATCTGTGGAGAGCCACAATCAGCTATGCTCCAAACGGATATAGCATTAAGAGAATTTAATAAAGTCTACAATGATATCAGTAATTATATCAACAGATAGTACTGGATTTGCTTTCTATTAGCTTATCAACACTGCATTCAATTCATTTTTTTTTTTTTTTACAGCTGATCAACTTTTACAGGTTATTTCAAGCCAGAAAATATTTTTAGTTTGCGATAATTTTTTGGGCGATAATGATTTAGTGATACTAGTCTTACTATTTAACCCATAGCTGGGGTGAGAAAAAGTAGATTCATTCCTTTCCCAAGGGTATTTGCATGTAAGTGAATATAACAAACTCAACTGGAAATAGAACTCGGCACTCCAATTAACAATTCTAAGTTGCTATCCATTACACCATCTACTCATCCAAGCTTACATTATCTGGTCACCCAGTACTGACAAGGCTCAACATTGCTTAACTTCAGTGATCGTACGGGAACTGGTGTTTCAACATCATATGGCCATAAGCCTTGTAGTGGTCAGAAAAGCATCCTCTGTTCCATAAAGTAGTGGCTCCTGGAAAGAAGCTGTCTAAATGGAACTTCTCTCTTACCAATTGAATACAAAGGGAAGGTGGATAGTTTGCCTCTGTGTACATGGCATGGTGGGTCTTAGCTGTAAAGGTCTGAACTGGTGGAACTAGGGAATATAGCTTATCAAAACATTTTCCATGGAAATAGCAATACAGTAGCAAAGGGCTTACAACATTGTGTCTGTGGGAGAGAGGTTGTAGAGTGGCAATTAATTCATCAGCCACAAGGCCACAAAGGTTTTGGAACTCTGTCAAGGCTGAAAAGTGAAGATTGTGCAGCTCCAGCCCAGATATGACAGCAATATTCCATTTTAGGTCTGATCTGATTTATGGAGGTGAAGTTGGGTACATTCTAGAATGGTATAAAGAGCTGACCATTCTTTTTAAGCATCTTTGCCAATCGATCATATATATGAGTTATATAAACCGTAATAGGCTATAATAGTTGAAAGAACTGCTGCATATGGAACGGAATTCAAGACAGAGAAATCTAAAGTAATGGTGAATAGCACAAGCAACAATAGTGTCAGCCTCACCATGGACAGTGTTCCCCTGGAGGAAGTGTCCAGTTTCAAATACTTGGGAGTAACCCTGTCAAAAGATGGCACATACTACGCTGAGATACGCACACAGATCGCCACAGTAGCAATGAACAGAGTGGAAAGGATATGGAGGATCAACATCAGCTACCAGACTTCAGTATTAGATGAAATGGGTTTAATACGACAAATATGGAGGGAAGCAATATTGATCTGCTAGACTTGACCAACAAACTCGTTGAAAGAACCACAGCCTATGGAATGGAACTTAACACAAAGAAATCTAAAGTAATGATGAATAGCACAAGCAACAATAGTGTCATCCTCCCCATGGACAGTGAACCCCTGGAGGAAGTGTTCAGCTTCAAATACTTGAGAGAAATTCTTTCAAAAGATGGCACCTGTAATGCTGAGATCCACACATGGATTGCCACAGCCACAGCAGTGATGAACAGACTGGGAAGAATATGGATGAACAACAACAGCCTCCAGACCAAGTTCAAGCTCTTTGAAAAAAAATAAAAATCACTGGCCATTCTCCACTAGATGCACAAGATTTAAATACACCTGGTTAAGGAGGCCCAGGCGTTCAAGAACAAATACCTGAGAAAGCTCCTCCAGATTTCCTACTAGGAACACAAAACTAGCAACTATATACGGAGCAAAGTCAAAAGTCACACAAAGCTAACAGGAATCTTTCCTCACCACTATTAAGCACCGGTAGATAGCATGGAGGCGTAATGGATAGCAGCTCAGATTGAGGAATCAGAGAGCCAAGTTCATGTTCCTGTTGAATCCATTACATTCACTTGTGCACTAATACTCTTGGGAAAGGTATGAATCTTCTTCTCCTCCCCAGCTATGGGTAAATAGCAGGGCAGATCAAGTTCTATAGCCTTGGATGGCAACAGGTCTACCACAGAAAGAAATGGCAACCTACTTCAGGAAAAAAAATCTGCCTCGTCAGTCATGTATGAAAAGATACATGATCACTTAACCATGTATCATACATGGCACATAACTGACAGATGGCAGGGTTTGACTACGTCACACAGCATAGCAGCCTCTGCAAGACCATCATGCAAGGCACTGTTGAAGGTGGGTGCAGACATGGATGACAACAGAAGAGCTGGTCAGACAATATCAAAGAATAGAGAGAAATGACAATGCCAGAACTCCTGAGAGCCACTGCCAACAAATCAGCGTGGATGAGTTGTTTCTTCTGCGCTCAGATCCCCACAATGATTGAAGCCGTCAAAGGACTGTTGATAATAATGAATAAGTTATTTTTTTTGTCTATATCTGTTGTCCTCATGTTTATTGCTATATTCACGACATTTTGGCCATTGTATGCTCCAACCTTCTTCAGGAGCAGTCTACATTTTTGAGATGAGGTATTGTAACTATTTACATTGTTTGGACTGTTGTCCTCATCTTTGTTACCATATTCACAATGTTTCAATTATTGTACACTCCAGCCTTCTTCAGGATCTGTCTAGATTTCTGAGATGAGGCATTGTAATTATTTACACTATTTACATTGTTCGGACTGTTGTCCTTATCTTCATTGCCATATTCACGACATTTAGACCTTTGTACACTTCGGCCTTCTTCTATATCTATCTATATTTCTGAGATGAGGTATTATAATTATTTACACTATTTACATTGTTCGGACTGTTGTCCTCATCTTTATTTCTATATTTATAATGTTTCAGCCGTGTGTACATTCCGGCCTTCTTCAGGTGATAAATGTTAAAATTTCTATTGAAATCCTTTATTTAGTCCACAGGAACAGATTGTTCTAGAACCACATTAAGTTTTTTATTATATTTTTCTTGTATGCAAACAAGTGTTTTCTTTTCTGGACTTGATAATTTTGATTTATATTTCTGAGATATTTACATTGTTCAAGCCGTTTATCCTCAACTTTATTGCCATATTCACATTTCAGCCATTGTATGCTTCGACCTTCTTCAGTTGGAAAATTTCAAACCAAATCTACAGGAGTAGTTTGTTCTTGTTCCACATGCCATGCCTTTTCTGGATATTTTCAGTTATTTCCCTTTAGTAGCTCAACTCTCCAATTTTTTGTTCACCTTTGCTGTGATCAGGTATTGAACTCGCATCTCTTTGGGTCAAGTTACTGGATTACTTCAACCAACACTTTTATCCACTGGGCCATGTGTCAATAAAGATGAGGACAACAGTCTGAACAATGTAAATAGTGTAAATATTTTTTTTGTCTGAATTTCTGGGATGAGGAGTTATTTACGCTATATTCGGACTATTGTCTTCAAGAATTGTGAGGACAATAGTTCGAATATAATTAGAGTAAATAACAATTCCTGAACCCAAAAATTCGGACAAAAATTAATGAATTGGTACACCAATGCAGATGAAGACAATAGTCTAAATACAGTGTACAAAAGGAAGTGGTGATATAAACAACCAGTTTTAAATGAATTAAAAAGTTAATAAAACCAATGTGTATTATGAAGTCTGATTTCTATCATTGGCTACCAAGTGAAAAAAAAAAATGATTATCCAAAAATAAATAAATAAAAGCAAAAAATGGTTATGCAACAGAAGAGAGAAATCATTTCACATGACTTGAGTCAATTTCTACAAATTTCACGCTACAGTGAATTTTACAATTTCATGCAAGAATACATTTCTAGAATTGCTAATTTCCTCAAAGTGGGGAGACATGCAAGCTTGCCTGCTTCTTGGAGGTATTTGACCCCCTAAAGATCAGAAACATCCAGCAGATTCCAGGAGACAGTCTGTGAAATCAGAACCTTGAAGAAGAACCTTGAAGAATTTTAGAAATCAACACAATGAATCGAAGACAGAAATGAATGTCCATAAAACCTGGAATTTCAACTGTATAACAAATTGGAAAATGTTTTTGTGACTCATTTCATCCATTAGGACTTCATCGGACTGGGTTTGTTGACGCGAATACATACACACATGAACGATTGACACTGGGAGTTTTAAAATTTAGAAATAATTTTTTTTTTTTATAATCTAGCCAAATTTATCAAGATTCTTTTTCTTTCCATCATCTTTCTTATTAAATATGCCACATTGTGATAATAAAAAATCTGCCGAATTCATCCACAGTAAATTTATGTCCAGGTTCTTACAACGTTTGGCACAACACAAACAAACCCAGTCTGATGAAGTTGTAACGGATAAAACATGTCACAAAAACTTTTTCCAGTTTATCACACATCTTTTCTTACAAAACTGTTCTTGATATAGAAAAAAATTAAAAACAAAAGGATTATCTGCTTTGCCATTTTGGTCAGCATGCTCATCAGATATTGTACCCTCTGACCTTGTTTAGGCATCTGTCTTTGTAGTTGGTAACTATCTTGGAATTTTGAACCAAACCCTTTATTCAATGCACAGAGGTAGATTGTTTGCATTTCATTTAACACACTTAGGGGATATTTCATAACCAGTTTTATTCTCCTCCGTGTCCATTTCTTCCACTGGACTAATACTAGGGATTGAACTCACATCTGTCAGGGAACTAGACAAGTTTTAAACAATTCTTTAATCCACTAACCTTATTGGGTTCAATCCCTGGTTCAGTGGAAGATATGAACAATGGACACAATGGAGAATAAGAGTATTAACAGATATGAGTTATCTCCCCATAAGAATGGAAAGTGAAATCAGAACAATCTAACTCCAAAGATTAAATAATGTGTTTGGTTCAAAATTCCAAGGGTGTAGTAATGCTTAAAAGTCACAGTCTGATTTAATGGAATAAACGGCACAAATGTGAATAAGCCTGGTAAGTATTAACTGATATGAATTATCTCCCCTAAGCATGGAATATAGAATAAGAACACTCTCCTCATAAATTGAATAAAGGGCACAGCAGTGCTGAAAAGTCAACATATTCCCGTTCAGTAGAATAAATGGTACAAATTAATTGAGTAACACAGATTTAATCTGGAAAAATTCAATACAGATTTATTCTGAGAAAAATTTATATTTTTTTTTTTTTCCTTTTTTTTTTTTAAAAGTTGGTTAATAACATTCTTATAAGTACAACAATATAGTTTTGATTATCATAAGTCATATATCTGGCTAGTCTGAGACAAAATTGAATCAAGTATTAGTACAAATGATGAGTATTAATTACCTTATATGAGTTATCTTCTCTAAGTAGAGAAAATGGAATAAAAACAATCTACCCCCATGGATTGAAATTTCAATGACGACAGACACCTGATGAAGATCAGAGGGTGCAGCAGGTGAAATCTTGCATGTAGAACAACCAAGAGCAGCATTAATAGCGATAATTCCTCAGATAAACAATTCTAACAAAAAACCAGGATGATATAACAGACTGCAAAAAAAGTATAGAATGCA